CGCGTATGGGTCCTGTGCTTTCAGTAGTACGGGCCCATACTACCTTCCACACCTACCCATATTTGTCTCAAGTATCATCACAATGCCCCAACAATAATCATAGCGAGCACTCAAGCCTCACTCCTAGAGGGGGGCTAAATATCTCGTAGTCGGCGGACTCATCCCAAACAACCTACCCATCCATGAAACTTCCACCAACCCTGCAGCACTCGTGTATGCTAACCATACATAACGTTGGACCCTATAGACTTTCGAATACCTGATCCTACCCTAAGCCCTTCATCAAACAACAACAGGAAATAAGCCCAAACCAAACATTCTCAGGCTATAAGATCTTAATTATGTACGGCCGTGATGCATACACTAAGCAACTACAGTAATGATGTCAATTTCATGTAAGGAAAAACCCTAGGCTATCATGCATCAAATAATTAGGCAATTCTATCATGCAATTCCTGAAGATCCCTAGCCTAGTACTAGCATGTTGTTCTATCATATCACATAATCAAATATTCCGTAAGGCATTTTGGGGTCTATCCGCGAGCTCCGGCTGATCGTACACTTGCATCCTCCTTTTATTATTTTGAAAACATTTCAAGAAAATCGTTTTATAACCTTGTCCTCAGTTTGAGACTGGAGACACATGAGTGTTTCCTCCAATTCACTCAAACCAAGGCTCTGATACCAACTTGTAACATCCATAAAATTCGAGCCAATTTAAAACTTTTTAAAACATTTCAAAACACATGATTATTACAAACTTGTTTTCAAAATAGTATATTGTCAGAGTATCCCAGAATTAAATCATGAAAATCATAAAATGTGAGGAGCGGTACGATCACGCCTTTTCCTTCCCGCGATCATCAGAAGTACCTGAAACAATAACCGATAAATGTAAGCTCGAAGGCTTAGTGAGTTACCCCCAAAATACCAACACCATACAGTCATAATCGTATCATATAACATATAAGCAAACAGATACATCATGCATAATGAGCCATCAGTCTGACTGGACCGACTCCCGGTCCTCAGTCTATCTGGACCGCTCTCCGAGCCCTCGGCACGTCTGGACCGCCCTCCTCGGGGCCTTCAGCCTATCCGGACCGTTCGATGGGCCTTCGGCCTGACTAGATTTGCCTGGCCCGGGCCTGCAGTCTACCTGGTCCGCCCAGGGTGTCTTGGCCTACTGCACACAGCAGGACCCGCCTCAACCCTTTCCCCAAACCAACAAACATGTGCACATACAAATAAACAAGTAAACATGCAGATCTAACCGATCACTAATCATGGCAACCATCCTAACCCATATTGAAATCTGACATAGCAACCATCCTAACCAGGATGTAATCTAACATAGCAACCATCCTAAACCAGGATGAAAACTAGCATAGCAATAGCAACCATCCTAAACCAGGATGTAAATCATAAAGGGTCGGCCTTGGTGCCTTAGACCCTGTTGATATAGTGAGGATAACTCACCTCCCAAGTTTCGCACTGAAGTGATAGGCTCAACTCTCGAATCACCCACACGAACTCCACCACCTATCGTTACCATAAAACCCTTTTCCATAAATTTCCAAATTACCAAAATGCCCCCAGAGCTCAACTAGTCAACCCTTGGTCAAGTCAAAGTCCACAGTCAAAGTCAACAATCCATGTTGACCCGACTCGTCGAGTGTAGTTCACCGAATCGTTGAGTCCTTCCTAAACTCGAGACGTCGTGAAATCCTTGGTTGGCTCGTCGAGTCCCCCTATAACTCGCTGAGTTCATGCGTGTCCAAAGGGTCGGGAAAAACCCTAGCCGACTCGTCGAGTCATTCGACTGACTCGCCGAGCCCAAGGCAATCTTCATCGGACTCGCCGAGTTGTTCATCCAACTCCTCGAGTACATGACTATCTTCATATGACTCACCGAGTCGACCTTGCGACTCGCCGAGTCCCTTCAGTCCTTCAACCATACAGATGCTTTTTAAGCCATGCAAAGGTTCCAGATTACAGATCCAACCTTCCAAGGCCTGCTTATCACGTAAAGTTGCAAACTTTACGTGCATGCAAAGCTTTAAGGCCCTTGAATGACAAAACTAAGCTTGCAATGAAGTCTCACACTTGAGGGAAGGCTCATTCTAGTCAAGACTGATAACTTTATGGATCTAGAGGCCAAAGGGGGTCCAGATCTGAAGTTACAACTTCAGATCTTAGCTCAAACATAAGAAGCCTTTCCTAAAACCCATCCAAAAGAGGTTTTTGATGAACATGAGCCAAGGAAAATAGTCTAATACCTTCAGGAGAGTGTTCACTGATGTAGATCTTGGATCCCACGAGTTCTTGCTTCTATTTTCTTGTTTTCCCCAAGTGTTTCCTCCTGCAAAACTCCTCCTCCAAGCTTGAACACACCAAAAGAACACACACACTCGATTTAGGGTTTGAGAGGGACAAAAAGCAGTAAAGGGGAGGCTGGGGGAGGCCAATGATCCTTTAAATAGGGTGAAATGCCCCGAAATCTAGGGTTTCATCTGCCAGCTCCTACTCGTCGAGTCCGCTCTTAGACTCGGCGAGTAGATCACTAAAACACGTGGACCAACCCGCTACTACTCGACGAGTAGGGCGGCCAACTCGTCGAGTAGACCCAAAAACCAAAAAGGATTCATAAACAAATCAATACCTGGGAATCGGGGCGTTACAAATTTCAACTTCCCAAAACAAAAAAGAAAAAAGAAAAAGGGAAAGAAGAAAAAGAAGTAAAACTTACAACATCCACTAAGTCCTTTATTTCAGGCTACATAAGTTCAGATGCAAACACGTTTAAGTCCCTCTTTGAGTTCCTCAAAAGAAATTGTTCCACTATTGTTTGTATCAATCACTTTGAGTAATTCCTTTAATCCACAAACTTCTTCTTCTGAGAGTCTTTCTTCTATCACCTACATTACATGTAATTTATCAGACGTATGAGATTGAATTCCTGCTACCTTCTCAAGTTTCTTATTAAAATTTGACTCTTTCTCCTCTCCTTTCACTCTAGTTTCTCTTTTTGTTCTTCATTTTTCGTATTTACTTGGTTATTCCCCATTAAAATACTTCCTGTAATCATATTGAAACACATCAAAAAAGAATTCAATCTAAGATCTGATTATATGCATCAATAAAGATTGATTTTTCTTACATTATTGAGAGGCTATTGTTGTTTCTCTCCAAGTATATTCAAATACTCAAACCAAAGTATCCCTAGTTTCACGAATTTGTGAAACTCGATTCAATTTGTGAAATATAATCAAGTCATTTACCAAACATTTATCCAAGCAGACATAAAGCATTAAAGTTCTCAGAAATGTCGCATGTTTCCAAACCTACCCATTTACAGGAACTAAAACAAAGCCTCCTTAAAGATACCGACATCATTTGTCGATATCTACTGTGTTCGTCAATTAGGGCTTGGTACTCCAAGTAGATTCAAATACTCAAACCGAAGAATCCCTGGTTTCACAAATTTGTGAATCTCGATTCAATTTGTGAAATATAATCAACTCATTTACCGAACATTTATTCAAGCATACATAAACACAAATCAATAGATGAAGGCAGATGGACAGAAGTGTGACAGATACGTATTGATAGAGAATGGGTAGCGGTACCTCACCAATTAAATGTTTGCTCAACCCAAAATCCAGCCCTAGTCTTTGGTTGTTCATCGATAGCTTCTGTAATCGACTTGAGTAGATGATTCACTGGAGCACAATAGCGGTGAAGGCCGGAAGGCTTAAATTCGTGCAGATTAGCAATGGTAGTGGAACCATTGATGCTACCGATGTTCCAAATTCTGAAGCAGTGGCGATGAAATACGAGCAACCATAATCGATTATTGTGGAGATGGTAGTGGTGAACGTCGGTGGAGGAGATGGTGAAATTGGAAGGACAAAACACGACAGTGGCGCTTTCAAACCCAAATAAAAGAAGAAGTCGATGAGAGATATATGGATTCTGATCGCGAGAAAATGTAATGGTGGTGGTATCCATCTCCGATCGATCCATGCTGATGTAAGGAGAGACCGAAGGTGGAATTCAAGGGAGAAACGGAAGCCGGTGGAGAAACGGAATAAGAGTGAGGCGGTAGATATCGTATTGTGGGATTTGTCGATTGGAAGAAAGATAAGAGAATGAATGATGAAGGTGGTGGTATATCTTGAAAGAACCAAAATTGGGAGGAGAAAACACATATCCTTAAGAGGCGGTGACCCTGGTTTAAGAGGCAGTGACCCTAGTTTTGAAACTAACCCATGAACAGAGTACCCTGGTAAGGTACTGTTCATAAGGAGGCTTCTCTTTTCATATATATATATATATATATATATATATATATATATATATATATATATATATATATATATATATATATATATATATATATATATATAGTAGATAACTTCTCTATATGAAAATGTTAGGGCCAGGACATTAAATCACTACAGAGTAGTTTTGATACCAAGTTTAAAAATGAATTTCATTTTGTTTGTATTTAGGTGGGGGTGTTTGGATGTGCGATTTCAAAGTCATTATTGCAAGACAAAATTGCAAAAATGGTCCATGTGGTTGGCAAAATTTTGTAGTTTTGGTCCAAAGCGAAATGTTGGTGCACCACTGGTCCAATTTTAGATACATTATGTGGTTTTGGTCCCTATGGTTATATTTTCTTGTGTTTTTGGTCCACATCCCACCTAAAATGACTAATATGCCCCTTAAATAATTATATTTTAATTTCTTTTATTTATTTTCTTATTCTTATAATAAAATAAAAAACAAAAACAAAATAAACCCACCTCTCTCTCTCTCTCATGATCTTTATACCCATCTCTTAAAATACCGACCCCTCATCTCTTCCATTGTAGTGCAGGAAGAAGCTACACCACTCTACTGCCCACCTCAATGATCCTTCTGGCCACCTTGCTCCACCATAAACGACCAACACCTCCCACCGGCCGCTACTTCCCCTTCCCCGTCGTGAATAGCTAGAGCAAGCAAGAAAACCAAAAGTCGACTGCCACCCATCGCCGATGCAAACCTCCACCCACCACAACTGATGTCGTCGAAATCTCTTCCCCGACCTCCCTTTCATCTCCAACTCGTCTCTCTCCCTCGTTTCTCACTTCTCTGGCGAAGAGAGCCACCACAGTCGACTGTGGCAGCTCCTCCGCCTCCCCCTGTCGTGACCCACCACCATCAAACACCCCAACGTCGCTGCTGCCTTCTATCTGTTACTCGTCAAGCTACCTAACAAAAGAGAGAGGAAGCGGCGGAGCCACCCACTACCATCACAGCTCCGTCATCACCACCCGATGCCATCACCACCCCCGTTAAAGCAAACGCCACCGAACCACCTGTGACGTCGTGCTTCTCGTCTGAACTCTTTTCTCGCCTCCTTCCCTTCGAAACCCTTAGCCACACCGAGCCCCCTTCCTTCGCATCCTTCTTCCGAGACAGAAGAGCACAAGAGCTATACCACTGGACCATCGATCGACCTTGTGGCTGTTCCCATTCGTATTTCTTTTTCTCCATCGGACGAGCATCTTCATAATTTTGTGTATTTTGTGTGTGTGTATTTAAGAAGATGAAGTTAAAGAACCCAGATGAAGATTTAATGTATGTGTGTGAGAGAGAGAGAGAGAGAGAGAGAGAGAGAGAGAGAGAGAGAGAGAGAGAGAGAGAGAGAGGGGATGGTGGTGGGGTTTTTTTATTTTGAATAAAGTTTGATAATAAAAAAATGAAAAAAATATTTATAAGGGCATAATGGTCTTTTTAAGTAGATAGGGACTAAAAACAATAGAAATATCCAATTTTGGACCAGTGTTGCAACAACATTTCGTTTTGGACCAAAAGCATATAAAATCGACAACCACAGGGATCATTTTTTGCAATTTTGTCTTATTGCAACTTCAAGAACAAGAATTAGATAATAATAATTGGTTAAAGCAATATATCAATTTTACATTTTTTTTGCTGCAACTTCGTATTTGCTTCAAAATCTTATTACTTTGATCCTTAAAATTAATGTTTTGTCAAAAAGCTAATAACTTATAATCAGTTTTTGCAACACTTCCAAACACCTCCTAAAAACGAGTTGGTACCTTAGGAGCTAATGATGTGTCCATAAAGTATACTATTTATCCAGTTGTAAAAGTATAACAATGTAATTTTCTATTTTACAAGAAAACATTAAAAGGGCAGATGTAAATTTTTTTTTTTTTTTTACTGTTTATCGTTTTTGGAGCACTGTTTAGTTATAAACTGAAATTATATTCTTTTTTTCTTACAGCTATATGAAGGAAGGCATGAGGACTAGCGTTGAAGGAATCTTGCTGGTCTTTCCATCTTTTCTTCAATACAATTTCATTGTTTGTAATATCATTAATTAATGTATAAATACTTTGTTGCTTTCCCATTTCTTTGAAAGAATTGCAACATTAATTAATTATAAATTTGTAACAGCAGTTTAGATTCAAGTTCAAACTTTAAACATGTATAGATAATAGATGTATGATTACTTTAATTTGCAAGCCCCAAGCCTGTTTGGTGCTGCAAAGTTTATCATATATATCTTGAATTTGAAAAAGAAGATACAATCTTTGGTGCTACTTCATGGTAGATTCTTATGATGATTATATAGTAAAATCATTTGACAGATTGTATGATGAAATTGAAAAATGAGTAAAGTAAATAATGGGTTAATGAACAGGTACAGGAGCATAATCATCCTCATATATATATATATATATATATATATATATATATATATATATATATATATATATATATATATATATAAAATTGCTATTTGCAGATCTCAAATATCTAAATTTAGATCAACTTACTACCTTAATATTATATAATACAACCTGTAAATTAAGCATTTATTCAGAAATAATTTTTTTTTTCCTTAGTAGATTTTTATATCTATATTTTCTTTTATCTTTAAGTAATTTATTTAATAGTTTTCATTCTTCATAATTTTAAAGTTAAATTATTGGTATTTTACTATTTTATAATTAATTCTCTTACTATATTTTAAAGTTATGATTTTGGTTTATTACTTAGTTTTTTTTTATATTTTTCGTTTTTATTATATTTCTTAAGATACATTTTCAAGTCTTATTTTCATCCGCTCCTTCATACATAATTTTTTTGTATCAAAATATTATTTTGATACTTTTATGGTCAAATTAATACAGTGTAATCAGTAACAACCCATACTTTTCATAAACATTTAACATTACATTTCTAGGAAAATATCAGAGTTTACATGCATGATACAAAAAACCAGAGTTTCAAAAATCTTTTAAAAGTATTCCCAAAAACATCAACCAGTGTTACCAATTCATATCATAACCATAACTAAAACAAACAAGGATAAAACATGAAACAAAAGTATAGTATGATGTCCTTGTTGCTTCTAAGTCCTCACACTCTACACCTTGCTACGAGAACCTGTAAACAATATCTGTCAGACTATAAGTCTGGTGAGTTATACAAAACATAATACAACACAACCATACAACACATATCTGGTTTGTCACATAAGTAACCAAGCATCTACACAGACACCGGGTGGTAAACAACTGATCATCATTATCTTTGTTTCCATGCAAACTCTAATCACAATCATTCTTAGTGATTCGTTAATCTAACTCTTTTCATGCCTAAGAATAGACATCATATAGCATAGCAAAAGTTATTTATCCTAATACAATCTAACAATGATGTAATCGATAATTACATCCATACATTTACATGCTTGTACATGTTCCATATCGCATAATCATACTCTAAAAGAAGAGTATAACTCACCTTTTGTTGTGGAATAGAAACCTACTTCCAATTTCTCCAAATCTTCTCTTGATGGGCTCCTAATCTTTCCTTGCTACAACCTATGACATTTGCATACGTTAAACCTCTTACATATGTCTTAATCAATTAAGACATTACTAGTGATTTTAGCCAAAAACTCACATCTTGGACAAAAACCCTAACCTGACTATCTTTTGCTCAAATGCTTGTCAAACTACTCCAATCAAGAAATTAGACACTTAACCTGACTAGATTATAACATATAAACCTCTTTTCATCACTTCCATTTCTAGGGCTTCAAACCCTAGAATCAAATCATGGATTTCAACCATTAAAACTTCATATAAACCATGGATTAAGCTCTAAGACACTTAATCAAGCATTAATAACAAGTTTACTTGGAAAAATCTAACATCAAGACGCTAAACTCGAAATCCACCATTAAAGCCATCAAAAGCTTGAAAATGAAGAAAACAACTACAACAAAAGTTTGAGATGTTCTTACCTAGTCCAAAGCAAGCTAAATCGACACTTGAAGCCTCTTGAACCTTGAAATCTTCGGACAGTTAGCTCTTCAAGAAAAGGGATCGATTTTGAACAAATGAACCCTAAGTCCAGATTTTATACTGTTCGGAAACCACGTCGTGGCGAGGATCTGACCATGTAATGGATGGTTAAATGATGTCGCGTCTGTCTTCTAGCCATGTCGTGGAATCCATTCTTCATAGCAATCTACTTTGCCCACCACGCTGTGGCACCCATACACCACGTCGTGGTGCCAAAGTGTGTTGCATACGACTTACAATAGAGAAACACCCCAAATCACCGCTTTGGTACCACACCGTGGTGAGGCTGGAAACAACCCTTCCAACCTTTTTCAATGCCAGTCAAACTCCAACTCATTTCTATCAATTCCATTCTATTCTTAAACCAATATAAACATTCCTATAGCTTCAAAGTATAAGATAAATGCATATAACATATCCAAAACATTTCACAAGTCCAAATATCATTAAAAATGACCAAAATGCCTTGACAACAAAATAACATTATACGTTGTAATTATCCCAAAAATCCCCGTTCTTACATAATCACTATCATGATATATGCGGACAGTAAACATTTACAAATTACATTCTATATACGAATTGCAAAGGAGTTACCCAACGCATTAACATTATGTTTTCGTCGCTTACATAATTTTGTTTTGTAGTTTTTGTTTTTATTAATTGACTTAATATATACTTTCAAACTTTATTTTTGTCTGTCTCCTCCATACATAATTGTTTAAATCGAAACTTTATTTTGATACTTTTGTAGTCCACTTTATATGATATTATCGTCTTCATGCTATATGTGAATTGTTTATATTTGTAAATCACATTCTATATATAAATTCCAAATGAGTTTTATATATAAATTCCAAATGAGTTAGCATCAAAATTATGTTTTGGTATCTTACATGATTTCTTTTTATAGTTTTTTATTATTATATACAAATGAATTTTATGTCTCAGCGTACGAAGTGACTTTCATGAATTATTAAATCACTAGGTGTGAAACCCGTGTATTACACGGGTTTAGAAAAAAAAATTAAATATAAAATTAAGCATTACATATTTTTTAAAATAATAAGTTTATATAAATACAAAGAATATAATAAATAAAGTAAGTAATTTAATATATAATGTAAGATATTTAAAAGATTGTATAGCATTTAGTATGAAATTTAATAGAATGATCTATTTTACATATATATAAATCTAATTAAAATATGGATTTTAAAATTAAGAAAATGAAAATTACAAGAAATTGACAAGTAGAAAAAAAATAATTCAAAAACTTTTAAAAAATGACATGTGTCAAAATCAATGACAAAATGACATTTGCCAAAATTGATTTTCTAGGTTAGATTTTATAATATAACTTTCTACTTAAATAAGAAAAGATGTCGGAGACATGTGTAATGTTCGGTCAAAAAGTCGGTTCATGCACATATGGATCCATATGGTGGTTAAGATTTGGCCGATCTTATAAATTATTAAACTATATAACAGTTATTAGCTTATTTAAAATGATCGTATTTGACTTACTATTTAAATAAAAAACGGTTATTTAAAAATAGATACACAATAGCTAATAGCTTTAGATAAGAAAATTTTAACTTTTATATTTGTATCTATAATATTTATCCAAAATCATTAATTACTTTACTCCACTTCATTGAAAAAATATATTGTGTTATTGTAGGAAAAAAAGCTACACAAATTTACTTTCCATCTTATTATAGTTTTCAATGAAAATTCAAATGTGATTAATGGTTTTTTTAAATAATAATAATAATAATCCATAATAATATAATATTTATTGTATTATATTGTACAGGACTCGAACATATTGTCTTATTATATAAGATCTTAATTGAGATACCGTATGAAATTGTTGAAATGGTTATAAAAATATATTCATTTACACTAAGTTTGTTATAACACAAAAATATGGTAACTTAATTTTTTTGGTAATCATATATAAAATCTTAAACTTTGGTATATTAATACCCGAGAAAAGAAAATTGTAAAGATGATTAAGTTTGATATTTAGGATGTATTTTATAAAATTAATTGATAAATTGAAACCTTAGCTTTTATTTTTGTAAAATTGTTCGACAAATTGACTATAAGCTTTTAAATGTGTAAAGATTACATAAAACTTAC